TGACACAGTACTGGCTGTATATCGCCTACTACTCACATTGAATTTACTTGATATCTACAGAGCTCTATAGAAAACTGAACCCGTGACGCCAACCAACGAATTGGCTTGTTTTGGCGCAGAGCTCTGCGGGGGTATCGCGGAGGGCTGCACGAGCAACCTCCATGGAGGAGCTCTGCAGAGCTGAGGGCTGAACGAGCAACCTCCATGGAGGAGCTCTGCAGAGCTCCTCCATGGAGCTAGCTCGTGCAGCCCCTTCTCAAAGATGATGTCTACGAGTATCTTGTAGAGGTCGGATGCGGGTTTCCAACATTCCAGGCAATTCCTTTGAACTTCCAGGAAGAGTCTCCGGTATACCAGCACTCCTTTCTTGAGTACAGGTTTGTGAAAAAGGGGGAAATGATCGAAAGGCAACAACGTCGCGGGGACATACGTCCTTTGGCACCAGGACAACAACCTGGTACCTGGCGCCGGTACTACGACTTCACGCTGGAGCCGAGGGACGAAGAGTTCTTCCGGGAACCGATGCACACGGTCTGCACTGTTCCGGGAACGTCGCCGTTTCTCCAGAGTCTGCGTATCATCACGTTTCAAAAGGACAGACTTCGGGCGATCAAAGACTGGTCTCTGTTGGAGGAACAAGAGGATCATACTCTTAAGGAAACCAAGATTCACTCCATGTCTGAAATGATGGCGATCATCAAGGAACTTGTTGATAAAATTGACCAGGCTACAGTGTCTAAAGCTCTATCACACTGGCGGGAAGCTTGTGAATAGGGAAAATATTCCCTAAATATGTAAAAAAAAGTGCAATTACTTTACATAATCCTAGGCAAAATCCTATGGTACGATTCAGTCTAATATTTGATATTTTCGCCTAAAATAATGCTTTTAGGTGCCTTGGGATAGGTGAAATTGCATATCTTCTATTCAACATTATAAGCCTTTAAAAATCATTTTAATTTGTCAGAAACTGACATGCAAATGTTACTAGCATAAGGGTTTGTATTGTAAAACAATTATTGACGCTTTAAAGAATTTATCCATTTCTAAACATATTCTTCCATATACCAATATCAAACTTTTACCGTTATCAATCACCTAAAATCACTGAAAAAATTGGATTTTTTAAAAATAATGTCAAATTAGCATAAATTGTGCATTATTATCATACAGAATTTACTGAGAAATATGGAAGATTCTGTAATGAGCTTATGTATTCACAGTTGTTAGCAAGACTAGTATTCCTCACAAATGGAGACGGATGATTTATGGTATTTAACATTGTGTTACTGTTCTTATGCCTGGGATATGACATTTAAAGTGGTTAAAAGGTGAAGCTACATAAGGAATTATATAGATTTCATTTGGTGGCAAGAAACCTTGTTGACTTTCATTGTAAAACCCAGGAATACTGGATAGATCATTTTAACGTACAGATACAGTGAGATTTCTTCTACAACTTAATAAACAAAACCACTATACATGTATATTGACTCTTATTTAAGAGCATTTCAGTATAAATTGTTATCTAACTTTCTTCCTCTCAAAAACAAGTAATATAGATGGAATTTAGCACAGTACTCATTATGTTCCTAATGTAATTTAGAAGAAGAAACACCTTTACATTTTTGTGAAATTTCTAGGGGATGTAGAATCTTGAGTAAACAACATTTTTCACACATCAGTTAACCCTATCTAGACGGGGGGGGGGGGGGGCTAAAAGTGCCCGCGCCAACTTTGATGTAACATAGCGTCTGAACGGCTAGAGCTAGAACCGCCAAACTTGGTGACTTTTCCTAAAATATTGTTGGCAACAAATCTGTATCATTGGAATAAGATTATGATTTTTGGTGTTGCCATGGCAACGGGTTTCTGACAGGCATTTTTTGCTAAATTTAATAATTTTCATTTCAACAACAGAATTTTAAGGGTCAAGTTACACATGGTTTCTAATATCAATAACATCTCCGATAACAATATGTAAATATTATCATTAAAATGCATAATTTATGCTAATTTGATGACGTCATTGGCCAAAATCCAAGATGGCGGACCATATCATTAGATCAGGTATATACGGGTTATTTTCCTTAAAATTTCATCAATACTCCCATTTCTTTTTACAAAAAAGGTTTGCATGAACGTCTTTAGTCTGTTTACAATGTATTTTAGGCTTTATCCTGAAAAAAAAACTATTTTTCAAATTTCAAGATTGATGATCCAAGATGGCGGATAGCTAATGTATGCATGACGTCATTTTATGACGTCACAGGTGTTGCTTTGGGCAACATAAGACTTAGTACACCCTAATATTCTGTCATAAACACTTTTGGTAAAGTTATGTCGTATACCGTTTAGTTTTCAGGGAAGAACCTATCTAGGCGGTTTTGGCCAGTAAAATCACATTTATGACGTCATAATGACGTCATATTACGTCACAACGACGTAAAAATTGTAGATATGATAAATTTTTACTAGTACACCATCCTCTTTGGTGGTCATACGACATACCGTTCGCGAGTTCTGAGGGGGGGGCCGAAAGACGCCCCCCCCGGTCCCACCAAGCCCAAAAAAGCCCGGTCTAGATAGGGTTAAGCTTATAAATATATCTGAACTATAATACTAGGCATTAAAGATTAAACATTGAGGCATTAATCATCCTATTTTCCAAATTGTTATCAATATTAAAACTTTATATATGTAAGAACCGACAGTATAAGTTTGTCAGGATTAAGGAAGTTATAGGCTATGTTAAATACTATCACGAATGTGTCAGGACAAAACTGGGGGAAAATGGATAAACATATGCTGAAATGGGGTCCATTGTATGGTAAACTGTATTGTTTGCAAAATATCTCTGATTATGTAATTTTCTTGTATGTGAACATGTCCTCTGTTCTTCTTTTTGAATTATTAATAAAGATTATTTGAAATAAAATATGCATAATTATTGATGAAATCCCATAAAATTATATAAGATGTTATTAATGTTAGAAATAATATGTAACTTAAATTAAAAGCCTGAAAAAAATACCCGTCGGAAACCCAATAGGTTTAATATGCCATGACATAAGGTGCTATAAGGGTGTGTGGAATAATAGAATGTAGAAACTATGTGAGCTATGACAGAGCATCACTTACTCCCATCTACCTGAAATGCAACAAACAGGTATTTACACACATATAGGTTAACATGTGAGCATTGATTAAAATCTTAATTACGCCATATTTCAAATATGAAAATATATTACTAAATTAATTTAGGGCCCTGTCACACTTCTGCGTATAGCCGTTGCGTATGGATTCCGTACACACATTTCTGCCGTACGCACAATACGTACAGTTACTGTGACGCACATGTAGCGTATAACTATCAAATTCAGCGCAAACAGCACTCCAGCAATCTGGAAGGGGACTTGTCAGCTTTTTTCTACCTGGCTGCCAACGAATTACTAAATTGTCGTTACCTCCTAAACTTAAAACAGAAGCCAGTGGAGGTTGGCTCTCTGGCTGTGAGGTTGTTCTGAACCACGTCATATACAAAATACTTACTCCTAGCTATAGCGATATATGCCAATATTCAGATTTCGCTTGCGTTGATGGGAGGTCGAAGAAGGAAAAACACATTTTTGAGAAGTACCGAAGCCTGGTCCTTGTTCACCCTGTCTTAAATAATGAGGATTTTAATGTACAGCTTGTGGATAATATATTATGAGAAATAAACCCAAATCTACACGAATACGGAGAACGCGCCTGATTGCTATGTAATGAAAACTTCACAACCATAAAGTATGTATACGTGGATGTCTTGGTCGTTATTACTTTTCTAACTCTTGCTGGATCATGATTACCTCCATGAAAAATGGAGGTATTGTTTTTGGCGTGTCTGTGTCTTTGTCTATGTGTTTTTGTCGCACATTTCTTGTCAGCACAATTTATGTTTTTGTTAGATCATGATTTCTGTATCTTTCAGATCTTTTGATTTCTGACTTGATAGTGACTTAAATGGTTTCAACTATTGGATAATTGGTGTACAAGGTATTTTATGATGCACGTGTTCCTTACATGTAAGTCTTCTCTGTATCATAGGTATATTAGAATGAATGAATGAATGAATGAATGAATGAATGAATGAATGAATGAATGAATGAATGAATGAATGAATGAATGAATGAAACTTTATTTTCGTGTCGTGCGCTTTCCCGCGCCCAGCCCGTGTGGGCTTATACGACACCGTTGATTAAGTTATACATAAACAAAAGAGAATCAAAGGTACAGATAACAGAATGGAATTGTTTATTGTTGATTGAAATGTCGCCATTACACGAAAAAAAGGTATACAATTATATAAACGCTATCTTTATTACATATTATCTTCCATCTGACCCTAACCTTCTTCCTCATTGGATAAATTTAAAAAAAGCCTAAGGACCGATTCTCATTAGAATGGTTTAAACGATAACAGGCTCCTTTGGTAACACAAACGTAATTCATAGGAATTTCTAACTTAAGATAGTACTGGTGTGGCTGAACCTTGCGAAAAAGGTGCCCAGCGTGTATCGAAGTAAAAGATTGAAGTTAAAGGTAGACTAATATAATAGGGACTTGATGTGGCAATACTAGAGAAATGAATACAACTAACATTATACGACCATGCATGTGTAAATTTAATAAAGGGCATCATTCTAGCAGCTTTGCTTTCTTTCCAAGGAATGCTGTTAATCACAGCATGAAGCAGCCAATGCAATCGATTAGCGTGGTTCAACAAACTTCTATAACAAGCGGGTTCAACAAACCTCCTTGAAACAAAAGAGCAGACAATCAACTATGGCACAATCAATGTGAACCAGTCAGAACGGCCCTGGGGAAGGATACATGCAGACGGTATCTGAAATGTCGGCTATGAATAAAACTCTTGGTTGTATAAAAAAAAAAGAGCTCAACTCAAGTACAACACTTCATTTTAAAGGTCAAGCCTCATCCAGTCAGAGCTCTGATGCTATTATGTTGTTGTTATACCTGAAATGTACTGAACACAGGGCCTTTAAAGATGTCAACAGATCCCTGACTAAAGGCATCGTTGATATGTTTTTTTTTTTACATAAAATGTATCGGTTGAGTTGGGGTAGGGATTTCTGGTCTAGACGTCTACAGTCTGCAACAGATGCTAGTTTTCTATCACCGGTTCTGCACCTTCTTTTATTTAGGCCATGTTGATTTGATTATATGGATGACATCCGCGCGCGCATGAATTTTCGGCCGATTCCAAAAAAAAAGTTTTCACCCATACTGTATATCGTACAAAACAGTTGCAAAATGAGCAAAAATATACCATACGTTAAAAAAAAATTAATACAAACTATACCAATGTCGTAGAATGCCAAAATCAAACGAAAAAAGACGAAATTGTAAAGAAATGAACTTGAAGACTAGATTATTCGCCAAACCATATTCTGTTCCATTTGCTCAACCCTCATGACCACGTAGATTTCATAATGAAAATAACTTTTTTTTGCAAAACTTTTTTTTTAATTCGCACGCGCGCATCAGTTTTGGGGCTCCCGGAGGATGTCATCCATATAATCAAATCAACATGGCCTTACAACTAATACTGGCTGTAGTTTTCACTACTGTATTACTGTAAAAAAAAGTACCATTTGTACAGTCTAACACTGCCAGTGGTTTATGTACTTGGTATGTGTATTACCATCTCTGTAAAGAATAAGCATAACTGGCCACAAAGGGATTTAAGAAAAATTACTAAGAATTATAATTTCCCCGTGAGGATTAATCTGCATCCCTCATTTAAATTTTGTTTTGGTTAACCTTTAGACATGCAGATAGTGGAATCTGATGTAGAAAATACAGTTTGTTTACTCTCAAGTACAACACCTCTATTTGAAAGATCATTCGATCGGTCAAAACTAGTCAGGGCTAAGCTCTGACGTTCTTATGCATTAGTTGTAGCTATACCTGACATGTACCTTTGCCACAGGGCCTTTAAAGAGGTCAACAGATCCCTGAAGAAGCGGAGCCTCAGGTTGCAATTTGCCAGGCTTTATTTTCACGTCCCACCTCTCTGGAACCTTGAGAGAGACTCCCCTCTCCCCTCTCGAATGCCTTCCTGACCTCGATATTCCATTTCGGGCTGAACCGTTACTTATCAGGGGATGGTATAAACCTACTGGCTTGCAATTTTCTCTAGCATGTAACAATGTTATTAGACACGATCATATTACTACTTGATGTCTTTTCCATAATGCACAATGCTTTTGCTATCAGCAAAAGGAATTTACGAATCATTTGACACCATTTTGGAATAATTAGTGTTGGAGTTCTAAAATCTAAAGGCATAGTTGAGATTTTTTTTAATTTTCTATCACCAGTTCAGCAACAAATGCTGGCTGTGCTGTATTACTGTAAA